GGGGGTTTAAATGAGAAAAAAAGCTCCACAAACTAAAGTGGTTAAAATGCAACTAGTGTATTTAATTTGGTATCAGCATTTTTTAACCCTTGGTACAGCAGAATTGGGAGCCAATCAGGTAAGCTGTGTGTGCAAACATTTTGACAAGTGGCATAATGATAGGAGAAAGTAGAGAGATGACCCCATCAGTCTTCTGCTCCTCAACAGGCAACGTGGGGTAGTGCCAACAGTGTGTTTGTCTTGTACACCATGACATAATGATAGATGCACAGCTAAACGGTAGTGGCGTATCAATCCATTGATGCAAAAAAGGCAACACACCAAAAGATAAATCCAGATGAAAAACATTTACTGAAGTCCAATATCTACACATACCAATAATAAAAATAATACAAGTAATGTGTGTTCCAATATCTAAAAAGTATTGCAAACCAAAAGAAGAAGAAGAAAAACCCTCCAGCAACCTGGATGGAGATTGGAATTCCTGTAAATTATAGCATTGGAACGCTGCAACAGCATGCATTACACTCAAAAAGTTGTGTGTGTCACAGGCCATAAGTGGTGGCCTTTTAATTGATATGGGATTTTCTTTTGAAGAAGTCCTTTGGCAGGTAAAACAACTGCTGTGTATATATTTTTATCAGCATATGAAGATTCTTCCTGGAGTTCAGCTTTCAGGAACTTAGACATATGGGGGTTGATTTACTAAAGGCCATTAGACTGCTTACTTTGCAAAGGAAGTTGCTTGGGAATTTTCCTCAGAGTTTAGTGAATGACTTCCTTCCATCCAATCATGTTCAAGCACAAAAATAGTTTTTTTTTTTCTTGCACATGATTGGGTTTTCTTTGCAATGTAAAATTTCACTGCATTTACTAAGGCCTCGGAAAAATTGCCATGCAAATGCAACTTCCCTTTCAAAGTGCAATTTAACGTGCAAATTAATTGCTTATTTGTCTTTCATAAATCAACCCCATAGACTCTATTTCTACAATGCTTTCATTTCTGTGGTACTGATGGATACACATAAGGAAAGAATGTATTGAGATAAGGAAAAAAAAAGATATCTTACTAGAGGGTTTGAGGTAACATTTTCCACTTAGAACTGCCACTAAGGCAGAATGAGAATCCATACTCCATCCATAATCCATGACAGTGCCACTCAGAGGAAGAATTAGCCAAGGTTCTTGACTCGTGGGGTTGATTTACTAAAGAAGCTCACAAACATTTCTCAAAAGGAAGGTCACCAGACTGGAGTATGTAGTAGGGTTATTGTTTCCTCCAAGACAGTGACTTAGTGGTGTAGCCCTCCTCCAACCACAAACTGAAAAAGAATACACAGGGGGCGCAAATGCCTAGCACATACCCAAAGCTTATTGAAAGAAATAAAAAAAAAGCCAATTTTATACTCGCAAAGAACAAAAGTGATATGCATGACATAAATTACTGATGGTCAACTAATGTGTAGGTTCCCAACTGTTGGTAGTGTTGGCAAGCTGATGCATTTAGGGGACATGTCCCCTTCTTCAGAGCTCACGCCAACAATTGCTTGTCTCCTAATATATGTACTGGGCACTTCATGGCCACACATTGCCCCTCCCCTCAATTGGTCAAAAAATCATTGCATTAAACAGGATCAGATGTTGTTGGAATCAGACGATTCCAACAGAATAAAAATATGACGTATGTATTGAAAAGAAGAGTAAGAATTTGGTAAAAAATAAAACACTGAATCAAAACATAAATTCCATTAATGCCGTGTGCATAAAGAGAGTGTATTGAGGGGAGGGGCTATGTGTGGCCATGCGGTGCCCAGTACATATATTAGGAGATGAACAATTGCTGGCTTGAGCTTTAAGGAAGGGGACAAGACCCAAAAACGCATTAGGTTGCCAACACTATCAACAGTTGGGAACGTGCCACGTTTCATCAAAAAATTTGTGTCATTCATATCGCTTCTGTTCTTTTGTGAGTATGAAATTGGCTTTTTTTTATCTCTCTCTCAATAAACATTGGGTAATGCACCAGGGCGTTTGTGCCCCCTGTGTGTTCTTTTGATTTACTAAAGGCAAATAGACTGTTCACTTTGCAATTGCAGCTGCACAGGGGAATTTTTCCTAGAGCTTAGTGTATGTGGTAAAATTTAACTTTGCAAAAATTTCCCAATCAGGTGCAAAGGAAAAAAAAACAGCATTTTTGCTTGCACATGATCGGATGATGGTAGTTCCCTTCATTCACTAAGCTTTGGGGAAAATTTCCCTACAAAGTGCAACTTTCCTTGCAATGTGCACAGCCTGTTTGCTTTTAGTAAATCAACCCCGTGGTCTGACTTTCAGTTGCTTTGTGCTGTATGCCGATTTTACACCTTTTTTTCATTGGTGTGCTCAGTTACAGAAATGGCTTGGACTGGGAGAGAAGGGGGTTAGTGTATGGAATTGCTGAGCTCTGAAAGTGCTGTGTACTGCCTTACTCCTGCCTATATTTTTATTCAATGTCTTCATATGGGACTTTCTGTTCCTAATTATGTCCATTGCCAAGGCATTTTGATATGGCAGAAAATGCCTCAGTCTGATTACATCAATGTATAAGTAACCCTTGTTCTTCGGATAAATGAAACAACCTGGAATTTAACTACAGATAAGATTCTTTTTTTTTCTGATTATGTAGTATTTAAAAGCATTTAAGCGACAGCTTAACCTCCAAAGGCATTGAGCTAGGAAAAGCTGTTCCTTCTTTGTTTCCTCTGCAAGTCTGCCAGGACTGAAATCTAAGAATGTTTGGGTGATAGGCTCGCTAGCCGACATATAAACCTGTCATGTAACGGCGTGTTACCATAGCAACAAGCCAGCTCTGTATTCGCAATAGCACGTGTTCGCAGAAAAAGGAATTTAGGCTTTATTGCTAAGGTGCTACCAAGCTGTTTTATTTGTCATTAACATCCACCTCATGCTATGAGGTTAAAGAACCATAAAATAAATATGTGCAATGGCTGCAGAATGCGGCTAAGTCATGTAAAAGGGGCTTAGCATACATTGTACGCCAGAAGGCAAATTGTGCACCAGATAGTAGCTATAAAATGTATCTTTTTTAATAGCCTATGTGGTCTGTCCAGATATCTCACCAACAAATCAAACTGCATTCTGGGTGGCTCACTGAAAACCATATTACAATGGAAACACCCATTAATTTATTTTACTGCCGCTTCTAATATTTTCCAGTATTAAAGAAAAAAAAAGAAAAGACTAAAGGGCCAATATTTGCCAAGAAAATAAATATCTTATGTTCCAAATGTGAGCAGAAGAATGTGTTTCACTTTCAGCATGAGCGCCACTGTTTATTTGGAAGCAAACCAAAAGCAATTCAATGGAATAATGCAAGGTAATAGTCAGAATTTCACACTAAAGGATTTAACTGTGAAAAGAGCAAAGAGGGAGTTCCCAAAGCTTTGTGTCCCCAGCTGATTTCTGATTGGTCGTTATGGTTCATGGTACATCATTATGCTTTATAGTATGCTATTAAAGTGGAGCTCCAGGCTTCCCCACAAACAATTAAAAGTCAGCAGCTACCATTTCTGTAGCTACTGACTTTTAATATAAGGACAGAAGCCTGTACAGGGATCCAGTACTGTCCTCACTAGAGCCAATTCTTCAGCTGGCTTCAGGTGCAGGCGCTGGCATGGTAAGGGAAGTCATCAGTGAAGCTTACTGCACATGTGCAAAGCACGCTGCACTTTGTGAATGGTCCTGCAGTCTTCTGGGACCTGTGAAGGGGGAAGGGGGGGAGAGCAAACTATCGGCTCAGATCACTGGAAAGGTACTCACTACCTCCCAAAAAGTGCCAAATGTGACAGTGGAGGGGGGGAGGATGCAAACATCAGAACTTCCCCTTTTGGGTGAAGTTCCACTTTAAAAACAGATTTTCAGGAAGCCTATACTGAGAAAATAAGAACACTGTCATTGCTGAACTCTGCTTTAAGTAGTTTTACTGTAATGTTGATCCAAAGGCTTCAGAGTTTCCTGAAAGTATGCTCATCAGGGGTTCTGACTTCACTACCTACATGTTTGTTGGGAGGTTGATGGGGAAGTTTCCCCCTAGAGACACCTTATGATTTTTTTAAGCCATGTGTACCTCCTGTACACTTATTGAAGTGGTATCAGCCCTTTCAGGCCAGAGGCCCTTGTACAGTTAGAGTAGCACACCTTTGCAGAAGGACCATGTCTTACTCTTCATCCTCCCAGCCAGTGATGTGGTCTGTTCCAACCTGTCCTGACATATGACTTTTGAGATACTATTACTAAGCAAGTACTTATCATCTACGGCTTTTTTTTCACAGCAGAAGTTGTCGAGAATGTTGCTGGATCGGAGGGGGCTCAGGTAAGGATTGGGGGGGGAGGGGCTGCTGCACACAGAAGGTTTTTTACCTTCATGCATAGAATACATGAAAGTAAAAACCTTTAAGCCTTTAGAACCACTTTAACCCTTAACAGGTCACTCCTCTTTTAGTGCTCCCAAGAGACCAGTGCACTGTGAACTGTTTCACTGTTTGCAGAAACATTCCCTTTAGTGCACCAAGGTCTTCAAGGGCCCCATCGTACCCAGCAGAGAACTTACCTTGAGGACTGTGCAAGAGTGCCTTTTATTTAACATAATTAAGAGTTTATTAATACCTCACGATCACGAAGTACAGCCTAGGCCTAGCTTCCTCATCTTAAGTGACTTTAGGCAGCTTAGCCATTATTCTATTGATAACAATTCACATTTGCCTTGGGCTGCTCATTTTAGTGGGGAAAGCTACAGTTTAGGCTGAGCTTATCAGAATTTAAAGTAGCTCTCCCACTTTGTTATTTAACCACCTCCCACCCGCCATATAGTAATATGATGGACGCAAAGTGGTTCTCTCGTTCTGGGAGGACGTCATATGCCGTCCTCCCATTCTAACCGCGCATGCGTGGCTCCCGGAGCGCGCAGCACTGATCCACGGAAAGAACCGAAGGTGTCGGCTCGGTCATGTGATCAGCTGTGTCCAATCACAGCTGATCACATGTAAACAGGAAAATGCCGGTTATCGGCATTTCTCTCCTCTCGAGCTGTCACGCTGACAGCTCGAGAGGAGAGGAGAGCCGGTAATCGGCATTCCGCGGAGGGGACATGTACACTGATCATCAGAGCACTATTGATCAGTGTGCCCTGATGATCTGTGTAGCCCAAGCAGTGCCACCATATCAGTGCCAACCAGGGCACATCAATGCCACATATCAATGCCCATCTGAGCTGCCTTTCAGTGTCACCCATCAGTGCCACCTATCAATGCCAATCAATGCCATCTATCAGTGCTGCCAATCAGTGCCGCCTATCAATGTGCATCAGTGCCGCCTATCAGTGTTCATCAGTGCCGCCTATCAGTGCGCATCAGTACTGCCTAACAGTGCCAGTCAGTGCTGCCTAACAGTGCCAGTCAGTGCCGCCTATCAGTGCCATATGTCAGTGCCGTATATCAGTGCTGCCTTTCAGTGCCCATCAGTGATGCCTGTCAATGCCCATCAGTGCCACCTACCAGTACCTCCTCATCAGTGCCCATCAGTGCCTCCTATCAGTGTCCATCAGTGCAGCCTATCAGTGCCCATCACTGCAGCCTCATTAGTGCACATCAGTGAAGGAGACAAATCACTTATTTACAAAATTTTATAACAAAAACTAAGAAAAAAACGTTTATTCTTTTAATTTTCAGTGTTTTTTGGTTTGTTTAAGAAAAAATAAAAAAAAACAGAGTTGATTAAATACCACCAAAAGAAAGCTCTATCTGTCACAAAAAAATGATAAACATTTCATATGGGTACAGTGTTGCATGACCGCACAATTGACATTCAAAGTGCAACAGCGCTGAAAGCTGGAAATTGGCCTTGGCAGGAAGGGGGTATAATGCCCTGTAGGCTAGTGGTTATAATTTGAAATTGTGTATGCAGCAAAGTGTTTTCATTGAAATATTCTGTCTATTTGAGTATTAATTTTCTTAATATACTTTGTTACCCTACTCCAAGATCTTGAGTCTCTTTTCAGGGTGACCATAAGGGTCCTAAAAATTATTAGCCTTTACTTGTTTACATGCAAGCTCAGGGTGTCAGTGGTGCTGAGGTTTCTGCTAAGGTCAAGGTATGAACAGAGGACCCAATACAACCAGTGACTTCTGCGAGGGTAATGCTACACTATATATTGTAAAATATTGTTCATAAGCTGTAAATTATAGGATACGTCTGCACAGACCCCTTTCCCTCTTCTGCAGACCTAATTCTTTCACTGCATATCATAGCAAAGCAGACCCCCCACTTAGCAATCTTTCAATCATTTTGAGGAAATTTTTGGAATAGGCTGTCCCTAATATCTAGAAAACAGAGGCAGGTAAAAAAAAATCTGTATTTTATATATATATATATATATATATATATATATATATATATATATATATATAAAACACAGATTTTTATGGCCTGGAAAGGGGAAAAAAAAAAACAGATTTTAACTTAAGTAAAATAGTCCAGAAAATCTATTAGTGTGATACACACTGGCAGTTAACACTGTAGAACATTTAAAAAATCTCAGGGAAAAGAAAACCAGTTGTATAGCTCAAGCCAAATATTTGATTTTTGCAGACTCTGAGTAATGGTTACAAGAGAAACCTCCAAGTCACCTTTCAGCAAAAGGCTTGGACAGACAGAATTATGGGCAGATTTTGTCAATTACAGGCACTTCCTTTATTTCAAAGACTGTATAACATTTAGCCATGTTATTCAAAGTCTTTGACACATTAAATCACATTTACAGCCACCCAGAAAACTCATTCTTCCCAAAGGAGGATTCCATATCCAAAGTCTAATACTGATTTCTATAACAATTAGATTCTTGAAAAAGTTTGATCTGGCCATACATAGAATTATTCCTGCATGTTTACACAGGACAAGAAAAATTCTAAAGTTTTCTTTTTTAGAATTCTATAGAAAATGTTGTTAGAAATATATATCACAAAACACATTTTTCTGTTATGACTATGACTTCAGAAATTCTTTGAAAATTGAAAACATCTAACTCTCACATAACATATTTTTTGTGTTTTGTGTGTCTTGTTGCTGAAAAAAATGTATATTTGCAGATCTGTTTTAGCCTTTTAATTCTACTGCCAATAATTCTTGAATCATATATAAAGATTCCAGAATTCTGCAAAAGGTTTTCTTAATGTGCCAGCAAAAGTCACAATAGCTGGATCAATCCTGTTTCTAGTCTGATGTTAAAGTAAAAGGAAAAAAATAAAGAATGGGGTTGTAAGCAATAGGAAGGAAGGAAAATGTATGGAAAGGGGAGGGCAGGAAGGGCAGAAGAGAAGAGAGGAAAACGAAAAGGAAGGGAAGAAAAGAGAATATAGAGGAAAGGAAATGAAAGGAGAGGAAAAGGGGAAAAGAAAATGGGGAAAGGAAAAGAAGGGAAAGGGGAAAGGAAAAGGGGAAAAGAAAATGGGTAAAGGAAAGGAAAAGGGGAAAGGAAAAGGGGAAAAGTGGAAAAGGAGAGGCAAAAGGGAAAGGAAAGGAAAGTGGGAAAAGGGGAAAAGTGGAAAAGGAGAGGAAAAGGGGAAAGAAAATGGGGAAAGAAAAGGGGAAAGAGGAAAGGAAAAGGGAAGGAGAAAGGAAAAGGGGAAAGAGGAAAGGAAAAGGGAAGGAGAAAGGAAAAGGGGAAAGTGGAAAAGGAGAGGAAAAGGGGAAAATAAAAAGGAGAAAGGAAAGTAAAGGAAAGGAAAATAAATAAGGATTTTATTATGGATGTATAACTGAGAAAGTAACAGTTCCAAACATGAATACAATACCATGAACTTTTGCTTTTCAAATGCATTTAAAATATACAAGTAAAAAGTATAGACATGGCCGTTTTGTAATAAATAATAACAGCAGTATAGCATATTTACTTTTGTACTGGAGTGACGTGCAATAATACAATAATAATATTGAATGCTAAGAATTATTTTTGAGGAAAATTCTATTTCAATACAAAAGAGATAGTAAAGGTCTTCCAATCAGCTGTAATTAGTGATGCTCCTTTTATTTGCTGCTTTAGGTTCCCTCTGCTAGTTTTTCATAGTGTTGCTCAAACATGTCTGCGTTTGGACAATCAGCATTTTAGCTACTCAGGCTGTAAATCATCAAAAAAAAAAAAATCAACCCAAATCTGAACAGCATTAAAGTCAATATTCTGCAGTCTGGAAGACTGCCACATCCTTATATGGGGGTTTATACTCGGTCTGTGGCTATCATTCTCAATCCCCATCCACCGTCCAGGCGTCATTTTGGCAGCAACCATAATGGAGCTTTTAGTGCTTTCATAACATTTCTAACATTTTTAGGGGTAAAGAAAAAAACCTGGTCTCAGACAGGGACTTTTTGAAGACAATGCCTTCCTGCGAGTATATACATTATTAATACTTATAATTAAATAATACACAGAACATATGCAGTCAGTCCATCACCCCTCCTGCACTCTCTTTTGGCCTTCTCCTAAGCTGCTGAATTATCTTTTGAAGAATGGCACATTTACTGCTGCTAGTGTGGCGATTTTATAGGTTTTCTTTGAAAGTGATCTGTTTATCCAAGGATTTACACAGAGTCAATCAAAATGTTATCTTTCTTAAGGGAGCCAATTAACATTGAACCTGTAGAAATTTAGCAAAGGAATGGAGTTCCAGAGGTTGATTGGTCATGCCCTGGATTTTTGGGTTATTTACATTTACATTCTTTAAGTAATTATATTCTATATTGTTTAACCACTTGAGTACCAACCTGTACATACCCCTGTATTACCTGGTCATTTTTCAGTTTTCATTGCTGTGATAGTTTGACTGACAATTACTTGGTCAAATGACCCAAATTAATTCCACAAAGTTTTTGAGACATATAAAAGTATTTAAAAACTACTGTTTTTTTTTTACTTTTTTTTTTGCTACTATATAAATAAAAAAAGACCAACATTTTTAGGGAAAAAATTTCTTGAGTTCCTAAATGCCATAATAGTACAAACACTACCCATGTTGTTTAGTTTAGAATAAGGCATAGTGTATACAGTGCAGCAGTCAAGGTGCAGAGGTCTGAACTATGTAATGCACCAATCAGCTTGCAGATTTTGGTTATTTGCCCCTTAGGGTGCTGAGTACAGATTTAAATGTTGGTGGTCAATGGTGTGTGCCCCCTTAAATCTTGGTGACCAGTGGTAAGAGTGCTCCAAAATGTTTGATGATAAGTTGTAAGTGTTCAATAACTGTTCATAGTGAGTGGTGTTTTTTTCCCCATGACATGAGTGGTCAGTGTGCCCCTTTTGTGCTCAGAATCCCCCCTTTCTGCCTTGTCGCTATTCAGTGTGCCACCTTTGAGACCAGTGTGCCTCCTCTTCTTTGGTGGTCAGTGGGAGTAATGTTACAAAAATACGTAATCAGCAGAAAAACATTTGGTGGCACAGAAAGCAGTGGAGGGCTGTGGTGACATTTTGTTTTTGGCTTAGACTTGTGATTGCTGTGATTGGTTCATAGGGATCACAAGACACAGAGCCACTATGATTAACTCTGCATTTTGCTTATGAGCTGCCTAATTACAGTGTGATCACAGACATTCCATAGGGAGCCTTGACTGCCCATGAATGTATTCTGCATCACCAGAAAATTGAATTCACCTATCTGCCATCTTTTACAATGCCGTTGTATAAAGATGGTAAAGGAGTGACACCATTTTTGTCAAAAAGGTGATATAATACATATAATTGCTACATATGCCATTTTGTACCTTAATATTATTTAAAATTACCTTCGTATTTAAAGGGTCAATGTCACCTTTATTGAAGTTTTCTTATATATGCAATGTACTGCAGACGGGCGGCCCGTACAGGCACAGCAACATACCTGTACATCACTGGCCCCATCCAGGTACAGGGTATGCACGCTCCATCGCCCGCCAACTCCAGCTGTGGTTGTACACAGCGGGAGTTTGTCAGCAGGTCCCAGCCAATGATTTATGGCCGTGACCTGGCTGTGTCCAATCACAGCCCAGAGCTCTGTGTTGACAAACAACACAGGGCTCTGTACAGAGGGCATGATCTCTCTGTACAGAAGCAAAGATATATAATAAAAAGCAGAACATAACACACACATTAGCACTTGTTAGGCACACACTGAATCCCTTGATTTCCTGAGATATTAACCCCTTTCCAGCCAGTGTCATTAGTACAGTGACAGTGTATAGTACCAATCACTGTATTAGTGTCACTGAAAGTGTCAGTGGCAGTTAGTCAGTTCCCACCCAGAGTCAGTTAGTGTCAGATTGTCCACCCCACTATCACATTCCCACTATAAGTCACTGATCACCGCCATTACTAGTAGAAAAAAAACATTCCAGTATATATACCATCTTTTGTAGATGCTATAACTTTCATGCAAACCAAGCAATAGACACTTATTGGGATTTTGTTTTACCAAAGATGTACCAGAATACATTTTGGCCTAAATTTATATAGAAATTAGATTTTTTTTTTGGAATTGGATATGTGCA